CCCTGGGGTGATTCAGTCCCAGGCCTGAAGGGTGTCTCAGGGGCTTCACCACTTTGATTTCTGAGTTGTGTTCCACATTTTTTTATCCCAGTCTACCCAGGAGCAGCCTCTATTGTGATCCTTTCCAGAGCAGCCTCCAGGCACCATCTACTCCTTCTGGTCTCAGGGTCCCCTGGCCGTTTGGACTAATTGTTCCTGTGGGTCTTGGGTTTCCTCCCCTCGGGGTGGGGACTGACACTAGCGGGCAGCTTCGATGGCATTTTCATTTCTGAATGATCTGCATTTGCCCTTGGCCCTTTGACAGATTAGGCCTTTTAGGATTTCATTTCCTAAAAGTGGCAAAATGGCTTTGTGAGATTAAGTGTCACCTCCGCTGTGTTTTCGAGGGAGAGAGAAGCCATCACTGCATTGTGATCTCATCCTGCTCAGCTTGAACTGCCCCCTCCGGCTTCCAGCCCCAGGCAGGCAGATCGCTTGATCCCTGAAAACCCAGGCTGTGAGCAGGCATTACGATCTCCACGGCATATCGATTTGGAATACGCATTTGACTTATGGCTGCTACAACTACGTGGCCAAGCTCGGATAGATGGCTCAGAGGTGGCAGCCCCCGCCTTCCTGACGTGACGTCCCCTCCGTGTGCTGTCATCTTCAGTACAGGCCATCTGCTACTGGAGGCCAGCGGCAGGCGTCCCTTGTCAGTGGAGTCTGACCGCTGTAGAACTGGGAAGGACGGGGAAACACGATGCTGCGCTTTCTGGTGCTCCATCGTCTGTCATGAACATCGTCTTCCTGTCCGTCCCTGTCTCCACTATTCCCCCCTCCCTCCATGACATGACGCTGTCCCCATGGTCTCATTCTGAGACAGTGTGGTCACCAGGCCTCCCTGCAGCTTGTACGACAGGGTCAGCTGCTCGGCATTTGCATACCTAGCCAACCTTCCCTGCTTTGAGTCTCCTCTGGGGGAGTTGGCACACTCCTGTTGTTGTAGTGTATGATTACAGCACATTGAAAAAGAAACGGGGGATGCTAAAGCCTAAATTGACAGTAAAAATGGGCCAGAGCGCTCCCTAGAGTCAAGGATGGCGAGACTTCCTCTTACACGCTTGCCCAGAGGGGCAGGCCTGGAGGTGGTAAAGGGAAGGGGCAGAGGAAGAGGCGAAGGCCCTCCAGGAGGCGGAGGGATATGGGGGCTGCAGTCATGGCTTCAAGCATGGGGACAGTTGTGAGGACGGCACAGGACCGGGCAGTGTTTCGGTCTGTTGTGCACAGGCACCTAACCGCCCCCACCCCCACCTAATATTGTCTAGTGGCTCCTAGCATTCCACGATTAAGCCTACACTTCAGAAGGAATCGCTTTTTAATACGGCCTACTGAGTAGCGAGAACCCGAGTGGGGAGAGTGGATGGTACACCTTCCGTCACTTCTTATGGTGTATGCCTC